CAGCGTTGCCAACTCTGTTAGGTCTCTCCCCTCTATAGAGCATTTTCGATTCCACTAGAATCTACTAAAAAGCTTGCCGAAGGCGTTGCGCGCCGCAGGCGAAAATTTTTTTGAATCTGGTAGAATTACTGGTAGATTCAGCAGTGGGAATCTACTAGAATATCTACTAGATTATGGTCATTATTTTCTCATACATTTTTTTTATTACAAACTACAAAAATTTTCTAATTTTTGGATACCTAATTTTATTTTGTAGGATCTGTGCAACAATAGGGTTAAAAATAAATTACTTATAAATTATAATTATATAGCTTATTATTTATTTGAAGAACTTACATAAATGTATAACAAAAATAAATTGTTAGAACATACTGTTAAAGTATAAATAACCAAACAAAACATTGCACTTCAAGAAACAGGGTTATAAACATAAAATTCAAATTCAAAAAATAAAACTTGAACATCCTAAAACTAAACAATGCAAAAATAATCTCACATCAATAACACATTGAGAAATTGTTCTAATGTGAAAACATACATAAATATAAAAAAGTGAGATTTTCTCATTCTTCCAATATCATATAATTATTAATATTCATTATATAACATCATCTGTCTCGGTAATAAATAAATCTAACACAGAATCATCGAGATCATCGGATTTGTACACTTCCATAGTTTTTATTTTATTTATAACGTCCTTTGGCATTTCATATGTATCACAGCATTTTCCATGTCGTTTCAAGCCAGCTCTGACAGACAAGAGAGCATTTAGCATAGGCAGTTGCATTCTATTGCGTAATTTGCTTTTGATAATGTTCATTGCACTAAACAGTCTCTCGACTTCAGCATTCGAATGAGGTAGTGTTAATATTGTCAAAGCAAATTTAGCCAACTCTTTAAACGGATTCTCGTTACCACTGTCCCTGTAAAGATTCACTTCACTCCAAAAGTCGTTTGTGTTAGATTTATTGTTCCACTTAATAAGGTTGATATTCATATATTGTGATTCAATTTTAGGGATTAATTGAGCAGGTTGTTTGAAAAAACAGAGCAATTCAGCAATGTTTTCTTTATCACACTTCAATGTATTTTCAACACTCAAGAGAGAAATTTTCTTCAACAGTTCAACATTAGTAGGTAGTCTCATTTGTATTTCCTGTATCAAATTGACAATAAAATGAATACACCTATCGCGTAAACATCGCTCTTCCTCTGCTGACAAAGTACCATTTTCTTTCATTTCTCTCACTGTTTTCTCGAATAAATATCCAAGGTAACAATGCTTATCAACAAAGTTGTTTATGTCCACAGTGAGTAAATCCAGTTGATGTCTTGGTGCAGTAACTCTTTTAATAAGGCTTTCTAGTAGAAGTAGAATGTCTTTTAATAATTTAGTAGGATCTACTTGATTCCCTTCAAACAATTTATTTACACGTTGCACATCACCTAGCACCGAACTGAGAAAAGCAATGTACGCGAAATTCTTGTTGTCATTGTACATTTGGTACAAAAGTTCAGCAGTATAAGAATTGTCTTTCACTCTAGACAGCTGAAAATGTAGTTTTAATGCATCCCACTGGTTTATAATTCGAGATACAGCCGATTCAATGGATAACCATCGTGTTTGACAAGCTCGCACTATTTTCAAAGGATTATGCCCTTCATTCATAGTGCTGTATATGTCATTATAGGCGCATTGCCTGGAGGACGATTTTGAAAACCACTTATAAGTTTCCTGAATGATAAATTCAATGTTTCTTGGCAACGTTTCCTTTGAGGCATGCGTTACTGCTAATTGCAACGAGTGACATACACCTGTCATAACACTCGTCATTATCTGTACCAATGCCAATTAAGTTCTGCAGGTTGAGGGAATATTTATTTAATGTTGTTTTGATGGTGTGTAAAAGGCCATCAGCATCACAGTTATCGAGAACGGCAAGATCAAGATAAGTCGTTACAAGCTTATTTTCTCGCTCACTAAAGTAAAGTATTATCATTCCTAAATATTTCCTCACCGTTATGTCGGTGGATTCGTCCAGCAAAAGACTAAATTTGGAATCACCAATATCATTTTTTAAATCATTGAAGAAATGTGGCGCTATTATATTTTGTATAATACCTGAGCACTTGGTACGATGCATTTTAATATGTGTGGAAGATTGTCCTTCGAACGTCTTTTTGCATGTGTTGACGAGATGATCAACCACACGCACTGATGTGTGCTGAGCTACAAACAAGCTTAGTTTTAGTTCCGCCTGTTTTGCTGCAAACATTTCCGATTCCCCTGGAAACTTCAATTGAGGTTGAGGGTGTGGTCCCAATATAAGTTTTGCATTCTTTTTGTGTCTCATAGAAGCACCATGATTCTTGAGATCGGCATATCGGCTGGTTACAACGATGTTGCAAACTCTGCATTTTCCTGTAGTTCCTGCTGTACTCTCAACTGTCACTAACCAATCTTTTAGAATGGGATCCTTGAGCCAAGCATGTCTAAACTTTTGTTCGTATTGTGGTTTCGGCATTTTTAATTCTGAAATCAGAAAGTCTGTGATTATGGGAGAAACGAAACAAAATACCCAAGATTAATATTTTTCAGAAAAAATAATTAAGTTAAATTAAAAATTATTATGAATTATAAATAATAAAGAGAATATTGGTAAGCATGGGATACGCAAATGCGCGTACTATCTGAATGTACCCGGTTGGAAGTACATATTTTTAATACGCCTATTCGAGACATGCGGAACGAAAAATTTAGTAAATACTCTTTTAAATGAATTTAAAAGAATTTGCTGTATAACACGTGTATTCATGAAGCATATCTGAGGGTGACAATTTATAAAAAAGCACAGAAGAGACAGAAACGGGCACATTCTCAATTTTTGAGTTGATAATTTAAAATAAAATAATTTAAAGGTTTGGGCATATTTCTACGGGTTGGCACCACCGTGGGATAAAACTAACTATTGCTTGAAATGTTTGGATTTGTTTTTATTAAGACTATTTGTAAAATTATCAATTATATACGTACCAATATTTGTGTACCATAAATTAGAACTGGACCGGAAGCGACGAGGAAACCAAAACCACTATCGTCGCAGGTGGCAGGTCTGCGATGCAATGTAACGTAATTACAATTACGTAACTAATGTAAATGAAGCGCAACTGCGCAAGCGATTTCCACTCCAAGGACACGGACGCACTTGCTTATCACGTGTTCGGTCGTTCGGAAATCGGAGGAGACCAGAGACCACGCCACGTGCCTCCCTTTGTAGTTTGCAAATTGTAAACATGCAATGCAAATAATCAACTAGGATTTCTATTTTTACTCGTTGGAACTGCAAACTACTAGATTTTTTACCAGACGTTTTGTTGAAATTACTAGAAAATCTACCAGCTACTAGATCAAAAATTTCACCACTAAATGGACATTCAAATCTACTAGATCTAGTAGAAATTCTACTGATTTGGCAACGCTGCTTCTATACCTTGATATATAATGTACTATTTCAACTTCAAGTCTCATTATTAACTTATAGTATATCCAGAATTACAATGTCCCACCGAACCACCAAATATGATCTTTGCCAGTCAATCACCCAATGTGTCCGCTGGTTAGTGTTTATAACGTACAATATTAAACCTCTATTATCTGTTTTTTTTTAGAATTACAACCATTGGCCGCCCGTCAGACCACAGTTTATAACAGAGGAATTAGTGAATATTGATAATTATAATATGATATGAGATATATGGTTTCCTGCACTAAGTTTTACTAATTGATGTTATTACAAAAAATTACGTCGATTTTTTGCCTGTTCTGAAACGCCGGAATGAATTCACGCACACTGATGATTGATTTCAAGTAATATTTTCGTAGTAGTCATAATATAATCACATAGATTTACATTACCAAAAAAAGCGATTTTTGCCTAGCGAGTGATGCTGTATTGCTTAGATTCAAACTTATTGACTACATCCAGGGCCGGCTCGTGGGGTGAGGCGGCGAGGCGGCCGCCCCAGGCGGCATAATCTTAGGGGCGGCATTTTTGAAATTTAAAAATAAAAAAAATGTTATATTATAATGTAGTATAATAATAAATCTTAGTAATGTCAATTGACTGAAAGCGATTATAAAATATAGCCATCTGCCAGGCCACTAATTTGCGATATATGAGGTAAGTCAGGGATAGATGACTCGCCTTAGCAAAAAAAATTGCTTCTCGATAGTGTTAAATTATTTCTTATTGAAAAAATTGTGAAGAGTGTAACATTAATTCAAGAATAACATACTGTAATCATAATTTAATTATTGCAAACTAACAAGATTTAAAAATATAAAAGAGTAAAAAATGTTTTTGGCCATCTCACCCGACTACGCGGGTGAGATGCCTCATGTATTAGGGAGTGATGCCTTTCTCAAAAATTATAAATAAAACAAGCAATATATATTATCATATTTATTTAAAAAAACGATAAACGAAAGTAAACATTTCTCAAGTTTAGGAAGTAAAAAAATATTATTATTTTTATACTGGTTGTTGATTTAGGGTAATTTTTTTATTTCTTTTTAGAAATTACTTTTCCACACAAATCACAAACGTCTTGATATTTGCTACATCCTTCATGATACCACATTTCACACCGAATGCACTTAATCCAATCGTCTTTTTTCTTTGTGTGTTCATATTCCTCTCCACATCCAACACATGCAGCTTCTGAATCACCATCATCATCACTCGTATCATGTAAAGATATATTATCCTCGCTATCAGATTCACAAGATTCAATATTCTTGCTCTTGTTTAGTTTTCTCATAGGTTGTTTTGCGTTACATAATTTTAAATCTTTTTTAGCCTTCCTTTCCTTCATCTCTTCTTGTTTCATTTTTTTGGCCGTCAAATTAGCCGTGGAAGTTAAAATTGTTGCGACCTGTTGACTACGTTTTCGTGCAGTCTCAACCCGCTGCACGCAAGGGACTGGAGATATTTGCTGTAACAGTTTTCCAGGTGTTATATCACTGTTTGTGTCAGGTACTTCTGGTATGGCTTCCGTAAAGTCCTTCGAGGTGCCGGCCACTGGTTCAATAAATGACGTAGGTTCTGGTGTGGATTTTCGTTCCACAGAAGGCACTGCCTGGTTTTCTGAAGACCGTCCAGATGTTGACGCTATACAGTGTTGTAGACTTGGTACCCTTTTTGTTGGTGTTGACTGGTTTTCTACAAGGTTTTCTGTTACTAAATATGCGTGTTCTGGAATGATTTCCGGATTGAAAGGGAATATTCCGGTAGATCTAAAAGCGGAAGTACCATTCTTGCATGTCGCCGCTTTACCCCAAGCTTCGCTTAGTAACTGCTCGAACTGTAATCTGCCCAATTTTCTAGATGCTAGATGCATTTGTTTTTACCCAGTTGTTGCAAGCGGTTGAATATGCTGATTTTAAAGACTTAAATACTGCTCTGTCTAAGGGTTGCAGAAAATGAGTGGTATGACTAGGAAGACTAAGAATAATAATATCATTCTTTTCTGCAAATTCTAAGGCATCGATGTCACAATGAGAGGAATGGCCGTCTACAATTAAGACCACTTTTCCATCAGGTTTTCTAGGCAAAAATTGATTCTGTAGCCAGTCCTTAAAAATCTCTGCATTTATGTACGCAGATTTGGCGGACATATAAAGAAATGAGCCCGGTGGCATTCCATCTTCATATTCCGGTTTTTTCCTTTTCCCTTTCATTATACATGATGGTGGCAAGAAATTTCCTTCTGCGTTACAACACGCTATTACAGTAATAGTTTCTCCGCGTTCACCTGATGTTATGGAAGAAACAAGCTTGGATCCTTTGCTAGCAATAACGTAACCAGGATTGTTATTTAGCTGACACCCTGTTTCGTCCATGTTGTATATTCGTCCGGGCTTGTCAAACAAACTATTTTCTTCAAATATATGCTGTAACAATTTAAAAAAATCGGCCACTCTTTCTCTAGTTGTCCCTTCAGCTCTAGCTAAAGATACGCCCTCGGCTCTTCGAATTGCCAGTTCTGGATTCCGTCTTAAAAATGAATTCAGCCAGTCGTAGCCTGCCATTTCTTTTTCTTCGTTAAAATTATGGCGAATTTTCAAAGCTAACGCAAATCTATATCCATTCCAACATTCTTGTAGGTGCAAATCCTTTTGCCTGCAGTTTTTGTACGTGCTTCACAATCTTCTTTTCTTTTTCTCTGCCAAACAATGCAGAAGGACCCATGGCTGTTTTTTGGAAGTTATTCTGCGTCTTAAAGTTCGGGACGGTATTTGGAATGTCCTTGATGCCTCATTCACACCCATTGTTCCGTTATTAATTGCCTCCAGGGCATCTGATAACTGCTGACTACTCCATTTGCCTCTATCCAGGCATTTACGCTTATACTCTGTAGGCATATCTGTAAAACAACAAAAATTAGCATTTAATAACATTTTTTGTTGGGGCATCTCTACCGACAGGTAGTGGGGCATCACTCCCGATGACAAGGGAGAGATGCCCCACTTCATTATTATTTCTACCGGCGGAAACCAAAACAATGTATAGGTTAGGAACACCCAATACACTTATATACAGATATTAAATCACAGAAGTTTGAAGAAAATCGACTCTTACCTGATAAAATGTTTGACCGGCGGATACCCTGTGATAGTTTTAATGTTGCACCAGCACTTATTTTGTATTTAAATTAAACTGAATACGTTTTTACGCCCGAAGCAATAAGCACGTGAACGGTAGACGCCATACACTGCAACTGTATCAATGCTGGAGACATCTACACTTATTTTGGCGAATTAAAGGGTTTGGCCATCTCTCCCGATGGGGCATCTCTCCCGGACTTACCCTAATAGGATTGCATTTTTTTTATTACTTTATTTTATAGCATATATTAAAATGACATTTTAATAGGTTTCAATGAGTAGGCTAAGCCTCTCTTTAGAAGTAAGAGTGGTTAAAGGATCACTTTAACCGTAAGGGTAGATAAAGTGAAACAGATGAGCGTGCATTCTAATGACATCTGTCATTCCTATTGCAAATGCACGATATAAAATGACGTCCAGAATATATGACAAAATAATGTTTTGTATTATACACGACGATAAAGGTAAACTAACCATTTGGTGGTAGTTAACTCACTCGTGAATTAATACCTTTCACTTAATGGTTAAAATATCCCTTTATCGTCTAGTATAATAAATAACTATTACATTGCTATTAAATAACTTTGAGTGATAACTTTCCAAATATAGTAGTATCTCTAAGGATACTTTTAACTATTTTAGTCACTGGGCAGTGGAGAACGTTCTTTCTCAAAAAAAAAAATAATGAAAAATTATTAATGTTCAACAATGACACAGGACAGATTAACGCATCTGGCCATTCTCGCCATGAACATGAACTAAGTTCTAACATAGACTTCGATGATATTGTTAACAATTTTGCAAATGAGAAGTTAAAAAGAGTTCCTATATAAATATAGGTATTATTACACTATTGGTATTTTTGTTTGAATTTCCGTTTTTTGTATGCTTATGTAAACGTCATTTTCAGATTTCTACGATTTTATATAATTTTCTCGTTATTTGGTGGTACTTATACTCATATGAAAGAACCAATTAATAAGCAACAAACCTTTTCATTCGGGCGGCAAAATTAGCGCTTGCCTCACCCATTTTTTTTTCGACGAGCCGCCCCTGACTACATCAAACAGATTTTTTTTGAAGGGCCTATCACAATTGATGAGAAGTTGGACCATCTAATAAATCTTGTGGGAGCACTAAAAATCGAAATTGAAGAAATGAAAGTAAGTCGGTAAGGGATCAGTACAGGCGAAGTGCAGGAGTTGAAGTAGATTTACCATTAGACGAATGGAACGATTTAAAAGCATTAGAGTTAAAAATAGAAGAAGATGCAGTGTTTAAACAACAATTAGTAAGTATCGTCCTTAACCATAGTCCATATAACTAATTAATACAATCTTTTAGGTAAAATACCTTTAATTTTAAAATTGAGGACTTGGCAGTAACCAAAGTGTCTGTATGGTAAGGTCATT